CCAACCCCTCCTCGCCATTCACCAGTTTAAATGTCGCGGGAGTCAGCTTTCCCGAGTAAGTTCAGAATGACCGCCACGTCGGCCTATCAGGAGAGGGGCTGCGCAGAACCCAGGAGCCCGCACCCTGGGCACCGCTCACCTGGCATCGCTTGCATCCGGGCACCCGCCGGAGGTCACCAGGTCACAACACCTCCGCTCTCAGGCTGCGTTAGCCCTGGGGGACCAGTGAAAGGCCCGCAGCGGGAGCTGGGTGATTCTCTGGTTAATTCTGTTTCCAGGTGAAACTCCTCCCGGTCCCATTTAAACAAAAAGTAGCAGGAATTCTTAATCTAAGACCACGATAGGCAGACTTTTTCCAGCAAACAAACAATCAGAAAATAGGTATATCGTTCTGAGCAGATTCTCAGAGATTCCTGATCCCCAAGATTTCAGCATCTTTGTTCTGGAGGCTGTGCCCCGTGTGGTCCTGAGGCTGCCCACCCAGGGCACCTGCAGCGCTTCTTAAGCCGAACATCCTACCCTGAGGACCCCTCCCCCCCAAATATCTGCAGGCAACGCCTCGGCATCGCCCTGGGAGACAGTGTGAGTGCTCAGCTGGCCCACGTCCGAGTCTCGGCCAGGAGTAGCAAGCGTTCAGGTGCTTCCATGTCCCGGCTGCCGTGAATAACACAGCAGTGTTGTGAGGAGGGCGGATAAACCAAAGGTGGTTTACGCACACGATGGCAAAGGGTTCAATCTTCATAAAGAAGGAGGTTCTGCCATTTGAAACAACATGGACGAACGTTGAGGACATGATGCTGAGTGAGAGAGGCCAGACACAGGAAGGTGAATACAGTATGATCTTGTTCCTATGTGGAATCTGAAAAAAAGTTTAAATCATAGAAGCAGAGAGTAGAATGGAGGCTGCCAGGGGCTGGAGGGTGGGGTGGAGGGAGTTGGGCAGAGGCTCAGTTATGTGATGTGAGTACATTGTGAGGGTCTGATGTACAGTGTGGTGACTCTAATAATTCTGAGCTGTATATTTGAAATTTGCTAAGAGAGTTATTACTACACACACACACACACACACACACACACAGTGGGACCGATGTGAGGTGAAGGATGTGTTAATTTGATTGTGTGATCATTTCACAACGTATGTGGATAGCAAATCATCATGTTGTACACCTTGAATATATACAATTTGTATCGGTCAAGTACACCTCAATACGGCTGGGAAATAAAATTAAAGAGAAAAAAGAAGAAATGTTCAGAAACCACAGCATTTTCTGCAGGTAAACTATTTATAGTCTCTTTAGAAAACTCTCTGTGGTGGGGATGGGGGTGAAGAATGAAACAAAAGTCTCCCAAGAAAGGAACAAAGAAACTATTTGTTTGAAACTTTTTTTCCTCTTAAACATCAGTGTCTGGGAGTCAGGATTAGATAACACCAAAATTGTAATAGGTTTTTAAATGTCGTATTCCAAGGGCAGCCGTATTCTCTAACTTTATCCACCCTTATTTGAAAACCATGCCTGACATGTATAAAGATTAAAAGGAAGTCTGATTTCTGTTTATTGATCATTCACTTAATTACTGTTATACAGTAAGTTTAAACCCAGGTCTCCAGAGAAGTATAACAGTTTGCATTCTCATTTATTAAGAATGTAAACCTAATACTAGCTCATGTCCAACCCGATACTGTGATATCTCCATGTTATACTGTTTTTAATTCCAACAACACGTCTCCTGACTGAACCTCCTCATTTGATCCAGAGGGTTTCCCCCAAGTTTCCTCTCACAGCTAAAGATCTGTCCACCTGAATTCCTTTAAGTATAACAGTTTGCATTCTCATTTATTAAGAATGTAAACCTAATACTAGCTCATGTCCAACCCGATACTGTGATATCTCCATGTTATACTGTTTTTAATTCCAACAACACGTCTCCTGACTGAACCTCCTCATTTGATCCAGAGGGTTTCCCCCAAGTTTCCTCTCACGGCTAAAGATCTGTCCACGTGAATTCCTTTTATATATATTTGGCATAGCCTATATCGGTGTTTTAATTGAACACTAAAAAAGTAACAGTTCGTGGAATACAAGATTTAGTGTGGCACATAAAAACATAAAATGACAATAATAAAAAAATCTCTCACTCACATAAATTAAGCCAAAGCCCTAAAAATTCAGCTTATGAAGATCATATATCCTGCAGTTGATTTTCCATTTTCAGCCCCAAAATGCAATAAATTACAAAGTATGAGCCTGGGCATGGTGCCGCTCAGACACATTCATTCTCCCCCTGAAACATCTCGGCCGTTTCTTATCATATTCGTCTTTCCAAATCTTTATTAACTCCACCAAAAGAGCTTATTGAAGGCCTACCTTCACTGTGACCCCAGGGGCTTGCAGCCAGTAAAAAACAAAACAAATTAGAACTCTGCTATTCACATACATTCGGAGAAAATCAATAGTTTTAATTTTCACATTGAGGCCCACAATTTTCCACTGACGGCCTCAGCAGGTTTTAATGGACACAAACAATTTACTTTTACTGTTTTAATTGTTCTTAGTCAATCGCTTTTTATTGCCCTTTACATCTGACTAAACAAATGAATCGAGCTGGATTCATAAATGATGACTTGGTAACATGGCCGGTTCTGTGTATTTTACTATTTGAGTCTCAGTTGCAGGCGGCGTTAGGAAAGAGCGGGCCCAAGAGGTGGTTGCTGGGCATTAAAGCAGAAAACAGGAATCAGTCAGGAGTGAAATAGCAGAACAGTGACTCCGGAAGGTGAGGGAAGCGGCAGGGGGTTCCGGAACCTTCTCCTACCTGAATGCCAAGTGCCACCCAGCGGTCCCCTGGGGAGAGGTGAGAGTTTCCGGTTGCTGGGAGCCTGGAGGAGGTGCGGTGAGCTAACTAGGTGCACAGGCTGATGGGACGTGACCTGCTGTGTCTGGAATCGGGAAGACCCTCTCCAGCGGCAAGCTGGCACCGCCAACGGGCATTTGGGGCACCTCTACGTCTAGCAGACAGACCCTTCTCACCGAGCTGCCCCCAAAGTGCCTTCTCACTGTGGAAAGCCACAGCTTCCTGGTGTCTCACTCGAGTCTGGCTGGATCCCAGGGGGTTTGACTTTTGCAAGTTCAATTCCATGCAACGGAAATAAACAAGAGGGAGGATGGACGGGTGGGAAGGGGCATCAGAGAAACAGCGCGGATGGCTGTGCCTGTGTCCCCGGGATGAGCACGTGTCCTCCAGGGACCGAGACTGGAAATGGACTCGGCTGCCCCCACAGTGGCTCTGAGCCGAACGGACTCGCAACCACGCCAGGTGCTCAGTGAAGCAGCACAGGCCACAGCGGAATTAGATTAAGGGAAGGGTCCTGCTGTCCCAGGTTAAAGAAGTAACTTTTCTTCTCCGGAGACCTGGGTTCAAACCTCCCTGAGGCCACAAGAGAAACAGGTGTTGTGGCTGAGTCCCTCCCACAACTGTCAACATCCGCAGGAGTGGGATGCTTCTTAGGCCATTAACTAAAGACAGTGATTAATCACAGCGGAGAACTGATGGGAGGCGGGAGGCCAGGCTGCAGGGGACACTGGTTAGGAGCGGATTTCTCTCCAATCCTGGGGGCTCATTAATGAGCCACATTTCTTCGTCTCCTTGAGTTTCCTGTTATTCATAAAATGATGATTTCTGAGGTCTCTTCCTATTTCTTTCAGGAGTTGATTTGCTAAATTAGATTGGGGTGGGGGGGACCCTCGAATTGCATTGCAAATTACGACCAAACGTTAGTTACATGACAAAGGGATTTAAAAACAAGTCGGCTGGGAGGATCTGGCCTTGGACGGACACGTATGTTGGTTTTATCTCCCTCCACCCCGTCATGAGCGGCACAGGGGACCCCCTCATCCAGAGGCTCACGGGGAGCGCTGGTGAGCAGCCCCTCTGCTTGACCCTGAAGCTGCCTGCTCGTGAGGTGGGAGCTGTGTTCTTCCGGCCGTGTACCCCTCCCCCATCTTTAATGCGAGCAGGAGGGGAGCAAAGCTATTTCCCTAAAGACCCGCTATGTGCTTGGCAGCGCTTTATCCTTCATCCGAGGGGTGTCTGTTCCCTGGGAGACAGGGCATGCGCCCAGAGGCTGGGAGGGCGCTGCTGCTGGAAGCTCACCTGGAGACGCGGAAACCAGGCCCGGCACTCCACCTGCGGGAGCTGCTCTCTGGAGGGCTGAGCAGGTAATGGATTACCTCTGCAGGGCCGGTTCTGGAAGAAGTGATGGGCAGACGGCTTAACTGTGAGCGTGAGTATTCCAGTGCCTTATCTTCATCAAGTGGTTCTATTGCCAGTGTGACGACGAGGCTCCTTGGCCCCAAAGGAGAGGAGTTTGGGTTGGAATAGGAGTTTGGGAGGAATCTATGCCGGAGATGCGTGGCATCATGGCAAAGGATGCCCCTCTTCAACCCAGTCTCTATTTTTTGTCTTCTCAGTAGGTGCCACAGCTGGAATTGTGGTGAGCACTGCAGCCAGGGAGAAGGCATAGCTCATTGATGATGTAGGAACCTGAAAGATAGCGGTGTTGCAGCCCACCCACTTTGGTGACCCTGCCCTCCTATGGAAATGTTGTGTGATTTTCAGATGCACCTTAGAAAAGGGGAAGGGGGCCTCCTTGCCGCCGACGTGAACGACCACCGCCAGGCAGGGATGGTGGCAGTCCACCAGAGGTTTCATCGTGAGCATGACCCTGACCACTAAACACGTTCATAGTTATTCCTGTTTGTAGGAGACGGGGCCAGGTGGAGGCTTTCTGCGAGACAGACTGCCGGCAAGCAGGGTTACACCGTGAGTTTGACTCCTTACTTTTCGCCGACCGACCTTGGTTTTATATCGGCCTTTTGGTTCCAGGCAGAAGGAAGGGTTTAATGATCTGAGAAGCAGCAGGGAATACAATGAAGGGGGGGAAAATCAACACTGCAAAGGGCTTTTATTTTAGAGGCACCACTTCAAAAATGAGAAATCACTTCAAAACATATCAAATAGAAAATAATTTATTTCAACTTCATTTTCCTTGATGTTTGTGAGTAGTAATCATGACTTTGTGAACTCGCCTGTAAAAAGAGCCTGTCCCTTTAAATCTACACAGAAAAAGGTCTGCGAGGAGAGCACTTAAAAAGTCCACACACCGTCTCCATCCGCGACCCCCTGTGGGCGCACAGTCTCCCCACCGGCTGCAGTATTTGCAAACATGCTCTAATCTTCCATAAAGCGGCACGAGACTTAGCTTCCTGCTTACACCTTTACGCTCGCTTGGGAACTTTAACCAGAAACATGTTTACAGTTGAAACATACATTTAAACACGGCTGGTTTGGTTATGTGTATTCAATCGTGAACCGGTTTGGTGGTTTTGAGCTGAAGCCCTGACCTAAATAATATATTAATGGTCACTCATAGGAAACACGTTCAGGAAAGTAACATTATAAAATAGGGATCCATTAGAAATACATAATGGTAGTTGTATTTTCGGCAGGAAAGAAAGCACGTGTAACTTTTTCCGTATGAATATAGTTTAAACACATTATCCTGTGAAAGTATGCTTAAAAAGATCTTTTTGAAATTTAAACACTTTACGTAAAAGGTAACAAAGTAAAAAAAGTACCCTTGCTATTTGAGAAAGGCCCTGGTTGTCAATACTGCCTCCCAAGATCGTCCCGGGTGGCTTTTCTCCACTTAAAATAGAGCCCTGCCCCCGGAAGTGCAGAGTGGACTATAAACACGACCTTGTTATCTTACATACAGAGACTTGCCGCATTGAACGAGGCAGGGTTTTCTACCACAACGGTAGTGCTGTCTATATACATGACGCTCAGACAGTAGTCACCGAGAGGAAGGAATTGTACACTCTAGTGCCATCTGGGGACTTGGTGCCGTGGGTCAGGAGCTCCTGGATCGTCATCCAGTTATCCAGAATCTTCTTGTTCCTCTTCTTCATCATCTTCTTGTGGCTCAGCTCAAGGATGCTCACCTCCCTCCTGTCCTCGTCGGCGGGCTGCTCCCGGGGGCCATCCCTGCTCTGC